AAGATAAGACATTAACAACCAAATCATAATTAAAGATACGAAATGCCAGTATAAGGCCACCTCGTGTCCTACGATACGACAAGGGGAAAAGATTTAGGCGTTTTAAACGCTCATCGTAAGGGAGTCTTAAAATACCCTTCACTAATTTCGTTCCTACACGCTGGACACGCTCAAGGGAGTTAGTATCCTTTACCAGACACGGGCTAGCTGCTTGGATACAGTACTCTAAATGTGGTCTAACATATATGGGATATGAAATTCGGAACATTTCCTTGTCCAAAGATTTGAACGCTCGGCGAAGTGACCATAACGCACGAAAACCTTTGACAGCGGCTGCTTTGCAATGCGTAGTTGTTTTTAGATCATGACTTAATACTACTCCTAAGTCTTTATGCTCTTGAACGCATGGAAGAGGTTTACTCTCAATAGTGTAACGGTAACTATTACCGTGACCGATGTGCATTTGCACATTCTTCCTAGAATTGATTTTTAAGCCCCACTCTCTAGCCCATCTAACTAAATCGTCTAAGTCAGCTTGAAGATCCAGATGATCAGCCGCACTTTTTATTGTTCTTCAGATTTTTACATCATCCGCAATTAATAATGTCGACGACCTAAGTAACAGCGGTAATTCATTAACGTAGAGAAGAGCAGGGGGCCTAAGATGGTGCCTTGGGGTACACCACTTTTGACCGGTTTCCAGTCGGATAGCGTCCGACTGACCCTTACTCTCTGTCTGCGGTCACATAAGAAGTTACCTATCCACTCCTGTACAGTACCTATTATTCCGAAGCTCGTGAGCTTCTGAATAAGACCTGAGTGTGAAACCTTGTCAAATGCTTTGCTAAAATCTATGAATATCACATCGACAGACAGGCCTTTATCTAAAGCTGCTGTCCAATCGTCTCTCGCAATAAGTAAGTTAGTCAAGCATGAACGCGCAGGAGCTAATAGATTGTGTGAATCTATGTGGCTTAGCAACCTAACCCGAATGATCTTTTCAAGTAACTTAACGACAATGCTAGTTAGACTGACAGGCCGGTAGTTAGATACGATCTGTCTCTGATCCATCTGGGGAAGCTGGAAAACCCTGGTGGTGCACATGGGCTCCAGTATCCTGCGGGAACAAATGGCGTATGAACCACTCGTTGGTCACCGGCTGTAGTGAACAGAAACACGGGTGGGGACAATCGACTGTATTTAGCACAAAGATTACAGACTATCTGAATAAAATATGAATACCATAAAGTCAATCGTCAATTTGCAAAATATCATTCCATCATATCAAACTGTACTGTTCCCGTTGCAAACACTAATCCATTGTCTCCCATTCCATTGTACATGTGTTTTCTTACAATTCCATTGTGCTCTTGCTCTTCCTTTCTTGATCTTCGCCATCTTCTGCTGCCGGACCTTACGTTTATTTAACGCACGTTATATACTACTTATATGAATATAAGTAGCTCACACCACACGGCTACCATGGGAGTGCATCTCCTTACGATGCTCCACTGCCTTGTGGATCAGACCGTCAGGTCGGAGGCTCGGGGAGTGGCCCCCTAAGAAAACCACCTGCTTCGGTTTGGGCACCTGGGCAGTATCACAGCCCTCACACATATCAAATGAGACTTGTGTGGCGCATGTATTTGTTTCCTCCTTGTACCAATATCTATGTGTTAAAATAAATAACTGCCATCGATCTCGTGACTAGCTTGGTGAGTCTGGGCGTTATTTGTTGTGCGATAAAGTAAGCCACAGTGTCTGGATAGTTAACGATAATTTGGTATACATTTGTGAAGGGTGGACTAGTCTAGTAGTATTATTTTATTCCTAATGCTATCAGAGTTCATTCTTAAATAGAGAATCATGCCTCTGCTAAATACCTAAACCTCTACTTTAACACGTGGATCGAAATTGCCATTTATTTCGCAGACATTGTGTATAATACCACAGACAAGCTTCAGCCGTAACTCTTCGAGTCATCGAGTGGGATTCATGACTTCAATGCACGATTGAAGCCTCATCTGTCGACGCTTTAAAAGGAAAGCCGGATCATTTGAGAGACTAACATCGCCCAGGGGAAATTTTGGTGAACGCAACCTCTGGATGTCGGGAATACTGAAGCATTTGTGAGTTCTGATGGACAACCAAGGATCGACCCATAAAAAGCTATTTCCCTTATATCCATACTGACATATTACCCACCTTGAAGCTCTCTTGCTTCTCTGTTGTTTGTTACTTTTCATTATTATGTAGTGCTTTTCTATCAAAATTGTTGAACAGACATGTGTTAGGTTATCTGCAATGTGAAGTAAACCATTCTGTGAAATTATTTTCACAGGTGTTTACGTTCCACTGAGGCGATGGAGTGTTATCTGAATCGTGGAGTAAAATCATCATCGTTATATAATCTTAAGTGTAGTGTGGAAAAGCAAGCCATAGATATACTCTTAGAGTTTTGCAGAGTTAATCTGGGTTTAGAAGTTGCAAAGTAAGGCTATGTCATTCTCACAAAGGATGAGGGCAAGTCTCCCTTCAGAAAACACATGTACGCAGTTACCATGCAGTTCCTAGAACGTCATCGATGGCAAAGTTGAGGAAGAATGACAAGCCTGGAAACCATCTCAACAAGGTAGTATACAACGAACATCACACTTATTTATGATATTTGTTAAATTTGAAATATCCTTTGAAGATGAGCTAAAGAACAGTAAGCCACTAAAGCAATTAAAATATATATTACGAGGAACGCAACAGCGTACTGGTCTTCTACATCACTTAGACCGTATGGCGAGTTCTTAGTTTTTCTATGATTCTTACGTGCTTAGTTTTTATCTGGTATTTCTAAAACGCAACCTTGGTGCTACTTAATTTACTATGATCAACAGACAGTGAAACAGATTCTCCTATGAAATAAACAGTATCTAAGTCGAAATAATGTTATCCACACTAAAATAAAACATAACATTAAGGATAGTTTGCATCTGGTTTCTTGAGTTTTGACCATTTCTATTCTTCAGAGATTGCAGTAATCTGTTTACATGCTAATAAAGATGGAAAAAGTAGTGAACTTAAATTGACCATATGTAACGATTGGAAGAAATTACTGATCTTTAAATTTGACTAATCCCAATTTTCTCCTCTTTCAGAAACAGCATGAACACTACGAGTCTGGCATTAGAGCAGTAACACAAAATCGAGCCCAGTATATGTGTCCAAAAGTTCCTAGTCTGTAAAGCGATACCTCGAAACGCTCTTCAAAAATTGTGGAGTGATCTTCAAACTTATTACGTTTATTGCCTTAACATAACCAGGTTATTGATAGCTGATTATAATATGATCAATTTAAGTCATTGCATACGTTTCAGAGAAAGGACTTCAGGTAGAATATCGGAGAAGATTGCGCGGGAAGTTTATGCCGATCAGAGAAAAATTATGATACCACAAAGTTCCAGCAAGACTCGCTATTCGACCTGGAGCTATCCGAATGACTGCTATACCTAGACGCCTGTGCTCCGGGTTCTCCAACTGGCAGTACGACATCTATCTAACGCAGATTATTTAATCGGTAGTACAAATCATACTTGATTACACCCAAGCTGCGATCCATAACCATGTAAGCGAAGATTACGATGTATCTCCTACGCTAGTTGCTTTTGACTTTGAGATGACCTTAAAACCTAACAGGATATAAGCAATGTTTCAGGACGAAACCAGCGCTAGGGAGTTTAAAAGCTGATGCTACGACGTTCTAAAATAAGAGTACTTGGGACAAACAATTTTGACCGATAGATGGACAATTTTTCATGAACAACAAACATCGGTGACTGGACATTTTAAGAAATGCGAACTCATGTAATGCACGTGAAAGCACGAAGTAAGTTTGGAAATCTCAAGTATCACATTTAGCCTTCCACGGTATCATTCAAAAATCGATCGCTCAGAGACTTATGAATTTTGAGATAAAATAGTAAACGAGGTAAACATAATTTCTATAAATTGTGAGCAGAAGCATGTAAGGTGAGTAAATCAAAGACATTGTTTCAGTGTCAGGATTTTTATGCTATTCGGAACTTGAATTCAAGACTATCTCCCGAACATCTGACCTCAAACTGATCAGCAAACTAGTGTGTGAAGATGCAGTCCTATGTAAGCTTGTTATCAGAGCAAGTTAGCACATCGTTGCCGCAAGCCGTTTCAACATATCCGAACCACTGGCAGGAAGAAGCCTGGTGTTAGGAAAACAATATTGTTAGGTAGTCGAAAAAATAGACCAATAATTATCATGTTAAGTCCAATAGTGTCCTTGGACCTTAAATGTACATTTCCCATTGGTCGATATTTTTTTAACGAGTTATTTTCCTGTTGGCCAATATTGTACAATGTTATTTTCTACTTTGTGGTACGTTGTAGTCTGCTTGACTAGTATATAAACAAAGTATGTTTGAAATATAATGATTCATAACCCAGAGGCTGTGACTTGCGTTCTTGACTCAACTGGCTGGGGCTAGACAGGGAAGCGAGACCAATCAGGGCACTAGGTCGTCCTTACGTGTCACTGTCCATTGAATTGATAAATAAACGCTGCGTATCAAACCCTGCAGTCACACCCGTTACAACAAATATATGAGTGGTGGTGCTTTAACCGGTAATCTAAAATGGCCTAGAATGCTTGACAGAGTATCTGTCTGCTCATTGCCAAACTCCACACGCAATACTAGAGATTATACAACTCAATGCCTCAGGACATAATTAGGTATAGCTCAAAACAGAAAGTTATCGCGATCTTGCAGAAGTTGTTTATAACGTTCTCTATAAGATATGGCCTGCAAAGTGAGGGAAATTTTCCGTGGCTATATTTTTTATTAAACTACTTCTAATTAACTACCACCTCCGTTAATTAGTTCACTATTATGCTTTTCACAATATCACCTCGATGTGCTCTATAAATAAAATCTGTTCATGGATACGCCAAATATTGGAAATCCAATAAAAGATTTACCGATTAATGTACGAGTTTAATGCACAGAAAACGCCATAACGCTTAGGAAAACAATAGCAACTATAGATATCACAGGCGACGCCATAATTTTACGGAGCGAAGAGGTGAATCATTGGTCTGATGCTGAAAACAAATTTAAAACAGTGGGACAAGTATAGTAAAAATAAGAAGCTTAATGTGATTAATAAGTTATATCAGAAAATCATTCTTATTATATCTGGAACAATATTCATTTTATTCTGAATTTTGATCTGATTTCAGTTAATATTTCCGGGGTTACAATACCACAACTCATTTTGACAAATGAAAAAAATGTTTTGGTTGAAATATTTGGTATATTTAATTCCTGTAAAGACAAATGTAGATGGTGAAATACACAACTAATTTTACTCAGTTACAAATGTAGTCGTCAGGGTTCGGATATTGTGGCAAAACGCTATAGTTGTAGAAACCCTTTTGAGGATTCTGAACAAACAATGACCTTAAGCGAGAGATCTCGAATGAAAAAGTTGTGAATAATCTTAAATATGGTACTACTAAAGAAAGTAGCACATGCAATGAGGTTTACGAATTTCGAACTGTAAGATGCTCTACGGTAGATAACACCGTCAGAGATAGTAAAAAAGAAATTGTCTATAAGTCACAGGATTGAATACGTCAAGGAGTTGCTATCATTTAAATCCCAAAATGGTTGAATGGAACACAAAACAACTGTACATCAATAAGGCTTACTGATCTAATTGTATCTACTTTTTCAGAAAAACTACTTTCAACGAATGAGCAGAGTAAAAGCTTGTCTTTAGTTATTCGCTAAAAACTCAAAGGATGACCGGTAATTTGCTGAATAAGATTAACAAAGCAGTAAATTTGGTTATGATCAGCACGTGATTTGTGTATTTAATTTAATAACGAAAAAGTCAATCTCTCTAAATCAACAGTACCGTTTTGGGCTGACACTAAATGATGAGGTCTCGGAAAATAGGACATACATCCATTAGAGCAATAGACAACAGGAAGCATAGCTTTTATACTTACCAAATACCATCATGCATCAAATCAAAAGCTTTATTGATATCTTTTAACTGAAAATGATGAGTGATAAATTGATCAACCTTGATCGTCCCTGATAAATAGTCTTCAACTAGTTTGGGCACTGAGTCACGAGACTTCCAACCTAATATGAATGTTGATAAGCCAAATGAATGTGTGCATTAACAATTGAATATATATATATATATATATATATATATATATATATTTGCAAACGCAAATAGTTTTATTATATTTAGAATTGACCATCATAATAAATAATCAACTGAATAAGAATTATAGTTTACTTAAACTGCAAAATCGTTGTCAAGTTAACAGATGCAGACTACCTGGTTGAGGTCTGAGTGATTATTGTAACTAATGATTAGAGACTGAGTGACAAAGCTCGTAACACTTTGCCATAGGGCAGATGCATCCGTTCTTTGTCATCCCACAAATTCCACACAATTTTTCTTCATTTTAATAATTTAAGTGTTCTTGAATTGTGTGTTTGATACTTGACCATTTCGACTTACCATTAATAATATCACTACCTCTAAAACTTTTGGATTTCCATTAACAATAATCTCTTTGTACAAATGGGGTATGGCAACTTGGACGGTTGTGCATACGAACCAGGTTCTATGTTGCGACTGACTTCCTTGGTTAGTTAGAAGAAAGCTGTAAGAGTAGGCACCTGGAATACGTCGCATACAGCCGAGTGAGAATGGTACCAACAAAGATATTTAACAATTATCACTTCTTACTAACAGCTTAATTGATATTTCACGAAGAAACTTAATGCGACCTACTTTTCGACAATAAGAAGACAAATACATTCGGTAAGCTAATCGCATCGCTATACTTCCCCTAAATTTCTTCAGGTTTTCAACAATTGCTAGTGAACATTAAGCAATATTCAGGTGTTTACGCATTTAGACGCGAACTTAATATAAAATGGACACCAAAAAACTGTTCAGTCATTGTATGTTAGTCAGTCCTATGAAAATCACATTAAGTCGGTTTGATAACAAAAAAGAGGCACTTTGTAAGATTTCACAAGGCAGTGATCATACTTTATTGCCCAGTTACCGCAACAATGGATAGTATTCTTTATAAAAAGATTTTTAGAGTGAATAGGCTTGATTCAATGATTATCAAATACGTTATTTATAACTATTGATGCCGTGCGTCTTTTGCAAATTAAAAATAAAGTTAGTCTATACCATTTAGTATTGGTTTTTAATTGGTGATCTCACTGTCCGGTTAGAAGTCATAATAATTTCGGGATAAAATTTTCCAACATCGATTTCGCTTGCGGAAAAGTAGGATTCATACAATCATATTGATATAAGGACTGACATCTATAAAAAGGCCTTTCTACATATTCGCTTTTAAGTTTTAGAGCTCATAAGATCCTAACTTTCGTAGAGCACCTAAGCTTTAGTAGATCAATGACATATAGTGTTGAGTGAGTCCTACTGACCACATTGTTTGTAGGAAACGTCAGACCTAGGTGTCTGTAATCACTTGTCAACAAGATAATTATGGGCCTTAGGGTAATGACAACCCTCAGGGAAAGCTAACATTAACGTAATTTGGGTAAAGTTGACACGCAACACAAAACCCGTAGACTTTAATCAAACTAAGAACTAAATAGAAAAAACCGGTTGCTATTTAGTGGCCGATTAGTAAGGCTTACATATGAGGAAAGTGAAGATGGTGATGGTTTAATAACAGAGGTCCTACTTAGTTTTTAGGTATTCCTATCACACTAAAATTTAATCACGAAATAAAGCATTTTCGATAACAAAAGGTTCACTGATTTAATCTTCTAGAAGTGTTTGAATAAATTCATTCTAACACCGAGATTAGATGCATTATGATAACATTAGTTTTCTTAAAACGATAAGCGAAGTAACATTAGACTACGAACTAATAACTTATCTTGCACTGTCTTAATATCGGTTATTGTTGGAATGACATATTTCCATTTTTTAGGACTAAATGGATGAATAGATTTAGAAAGAGGAATCAAGTTATGTAAGAGCAAGGCCTACATAAATTATTTGCGTTACAGATTAGGATTATTGATAAACAAACGAGATTTGGACTAATAAAATGAATGAATAAGACCTCGAACGATAGATGAAATGCAATGAGATGTGGATAAGCGATGACTCCCCAAATAAACAGACCCCGACCGTTGCTGCTACCTTGACGTGGTCAAGCTAGTCAATCATGATGAACCAATTGAGCTATACTGGCTGGAACAATCGTTACTCAAGGTCCTACCATGCCAGACAGGTCGGATGAAGAACGGTAAGATTAAAAGCAGCAAACCCAATATCCGATAGAGAAGTAGTACTGTACAGAGGTGTGATGGCAGTAAGGTGTCTCCTTCAGACAACCAGCATAAAAGCGATGCTGCCTTCCCATAAAGGGTGGGTTTAGAAAAGGTCCACCCTAGGAATACACACCTCGCTTTATCACGCGAATTTCCGTCTCTGGCAGTAAGGTCCCAACAAGTATGGAGCTGACATGTGTGTGACTGGTCTCAACATTTGTCCGTTGGTTACTGCGGTCACGCTCTTAGGTCAGTAAAACCATCTTTAATCCAATTTCCCTCTCAGGAACCTCCAGAAGAACCTTTCCATGATGTGGGCAACCGGGAAGTGATAACCACCCTAATACCCTTAACAACAGTCAAGACCACTGTATTCATAATCAACCTCCCTCTTCAATCCCTAGTATTCCTCCCACCTCGACTTTCAACCCTAAAATCCCTCTTTTCGCTTCCTACTGAAGTGTCACCATGACCAACGATTCTAGTACGCGAAATCCTGTCTCAGATCTACTGAAATTTTGCTCCAAACTACACATTGCAGCCGTCAACGTCTGTACCGTACGTCAAATCGGTCAGCAGAACTCATTACTAAAACACTAGAATCTTGTACGATTGATGTATACTGTGTCTCGGAGACACGCATACAAGATCCTAGTGCCGTCATTCACTTGACCTCACCTCGCAAAAATGGAGAGCCGATGAGATAAACCCACCGTGTAGTGACCTGATAGCAATTTCTCGTGGACTGACGGGTGTAGGCATAGCACTAAGATGGCTGAACAAGCACTTTTAGAATGGATCCCCACATGGCTCCGTAAGAACTCGGAAGGATAGGGACAGATAGTTGTCTTTTCGTAGTTTCTGTCTACGCTCCCACTGACTGCAGCCCGGATGAAGTGAAAGATGACTTTTACGGCAAGCTCTCTGAACTTCTTCATACAGCTAAACGCTCAGATATAGTATTCGTAGCAAGTGACTTTAATGCCCAGGTAGGTAGCTTAAATCAAACAGAAAGACATTTAGGTGGGTATTTTAGTATACCGGCTAAGCGAACAGGTAATGGTGATCGTTTGCTGAAACTATAGTCAGACAAACGTTTATTTTTAGCAAACACAAATTTTAAGCATAAGGAGACATCGTCTAACATGGCGACTCCCTACACCAAACCAACGATGGACTCAAAAAGATCATATTGCCATCAGTCATCGTTGAAGAGACTCGCTCATTTTGGAACAACTGCGGTCATACTTAGGCAGTTATGAAAACGAGGCTGACTCAAAAGTTGATTCAAAAGATACACAAACAGCAGCGACATCTGTTATTGATTTAAAGTTACGAAAAACCAGTGGATTCCTGCTACAACTATTGCACTGACAGACTCTCGTAAACTTACCCCATCAGGCTCTGAACACGATGACGAGCAAAAACAAGTCAGATCTAGATTAACCAAAAGTCTAAGGAACGACCGTGAGCAGTAGAGGGCAACGAAAGCAAAAGAGATGAAAAAGGCAGCGACTGTAGGTTACACCAGACAGCTTTTCAGACTAATAAAAGAAACTGGAATTAAGAAGTCAAGTGTGAGACGACCTCTGAAACAGACGATACAACTGCTCTCAGCCCAGACGTTTAGAACAATGGGAAGAACACTAAGGAGCAGTTTAGCCGGCCTTCAGCTAGTCTACAACTACCCACCATTTCTAAACAGCCTGAATGGAACATTGAAGTAGGTCCCTCGACTCTAATTGAAGTTCAAAAAGCTATAGCTAACCTGAAATGAGGAAGAGCAGTTAGTCCAGACGATTTGGCTCCAGAGGTCTTTAAGGATGGTAGCGATTAGGTTGACTAATATTTTACCTAAATCTGGGAGTTGGATGTAATTCCATCTGACTGGTATCAATCACTGATTGTCCCAATATATAAGAAGAGGTCAGAATCATTCTGCCATAACCATAGAGGGATTAGTTAAACTAATACACCACCTAAAATACAAACCTCAATAATTATTGTGAGCCAGACAAAGAATCATGAACTGCAAACAAGAGAAAATCAGGCTGGTTTCAGACCTGGTCGTGGCTGCATCGACCACATGTTTACCATTCGTCAGGTTTTAGAACACAGAAATGCTTATCGGCGTCCGACAATGATAGTTTTTCTTGACTAAAAAGCAGCATTTGACTCTGTAGACCGGGAGGTTCTGTGGCAGTGTCTGTCATTGAAGGTGTACCCCAGGAGTACATAAACCTAGTGGGAGCTCTTCACTCAAACACCACCAGTCTAGTCAGAGATTATGGCGAACTGACATCTGATATTGCACCTTCAAGTGGTATCCGGCAAGGCTGTCCATTATCTCGATTTTTGTTCAATCCCACCAGGGACTTCCTGACGGAAATAACTTTCTCGTCGACTGAATTTTTGGGGATTAGTCTCCTATTACGATGTTCACTCATCGACTTAGAATACACAGATGACAGTCTTGTTCGATGAAGACGCTGATAAAATGCCATATTTTGGTAGCACTGAACAGCAATGTCAGGATGTCTGGGATGCGTTTCTCTCCCTCTAAATGCAAGTTGTTTCTTCAGGACTGGTCTGCGTCAAGTCAACAACGTCACTTTTCTTAAAAGTCTGATCAGTCCTGATGGGTCGGTGTCTGACGAAATCTCAGCACGGATTCAAAAAGCTCGCTTGGCTTTTGCCAACATACGTCACCTATGGCGAAGACGAGATATCCGTCTATCAATAAAAGGACGAGTATACTGAGCGGCAGTCCGTTCTGTTCTACTTTACGCCTGCGATACGTGTCCATTAAGAGTAGAAGATACTCGTAAGCTACTAGTATTTGACCACAGATGCCTTAGAAATATTGCTGGGATCACCGGGTAAGTAGTAATGAGGTTAGACGCAGGGTATTAGGGAATTATGGTAAATCAGTTGATAAGGTTGTAAATCTTCATCAACCAAGATGGCTGAGCCACGTGTTACGTATGCCTGAACACCGATTACCATAAAACGCAATGCTGACTAGTGTCGGGGAGGGTTGGAAGAAAGTTAGGGGTGGCCAAACCAAAACATGGCATCAGTCATTGAAGTCACGGACTTCTAGTCTGAGCCATGTTGGTAGATGCAGATTACTTGGTTGGAGTCCGCGTGACTATCGTAACCAATGGTTGGAGACTCTTGGTGACATGACTCAGAATTGATCACAGTGGTATAGGTGTATACACTAACTTCTGGTCTAAGCCATGTTGGTAGATGCAGATTACTTGGTTGGAGTCCGCGTGACTATCGTAACCATTGGTTGGGGACTCTGGGTGACATGGCTCAGAATCGATTACAATGGTGTAGGTGTATACACTCTTTGTCTTCCCTTAAACCATGAGATTAAAATTGCTTTATATCTTTCTTTCTACGAACAAATTTTTTCTCCCTGTAATATATCCTCATACACAACCCTTCTTTTTTATATTACTATCATTGAAGTAACTAGTTCTATGAATTTGATGTTCATCTTGTTATGCTAATGAGGTATGGCAGCTTGGGCCGATGCATACATGTGCCTGGCTCTACGTTGCAGTTGACTGACTGGAAAAAACTAGACGAGTAACTCGAACGCCAAGATGAACTACGGAACAACAACAAGACAACTAACCAGAATAGGTTTTTACCAAATAAAATAATATGCTTACATACAAAATATTAACACAAGAAACAAACACCTAATAAGCGATTGGGAGAAGTCGGTTTTGTCGGTCACCCAATTTCCAATGAAACAAGAGTTACTATTACGGTCAATCCTTGTCAATTTTTATTAGCCTGATTTATGAAACAGAAATAAGATGGGGCGGATTGAAACTCGTGGAAATATGGCCGGATCTCGAACGCTCAAACGACTGAACCTAAGTAATCGATAATAATTTAGTTTACGAAAAATGTTTATGTTAAGTGATAGAAATAATCCACCCTTCATAGATGCCTTAAATCAGAATACAACGTAAGAAAATCTCAACACGAAAGTTAATTTCACTGAGACTATCTGTGAACCTCACATTGCACCATTTTTCTGACAGTGGCTGTATACGCGTAGCCATAAGAGAGCATTTTGAGGGGGTGAACTGACTCCCCACCATCGACCGTACCAAAGCATTTGGAGCCATTGGAGTGGGTAGAACATTAAGTGATAATAACGAGATCTAATCTACATGCCACAACATGACTGGATGAGTGATCATGAAACTTAATTTTCGAATACAAAACATTGGGAGCATATTTGGTGCACTTTATTAAAATTATATAGATGGGTCTTTAAAATACACGAAAGTTCATTTTAATCAGACTATCTGTGAATCTCACATTGCATCATTTTTCCCAGATAATTTTAAAGGTTACATACGGTTGTCGTAAATGTCACAAAATGATGATCATTACAACTAACCTCCAAAAGCACAACCCTTCCATGTACGACCAGTTACAAGCTGGAATGGTCGAGTTGAGATTTCTGCCCCAGCCTCCGCTACACCAATTATAACTGAAACACCCCAGCCCTTGTGACACGATTCTAAAGCTTGACGCATAGTACCCACATTCCCGACACATTCAAAAGAATAATCACAACCTCCATCAGTTATTTCAACAATAACCTGTGATATAAAAATGACGACGGGGAATAAGTGAAAATAAGCATTTGATTAAATTTCAAACAAGCAATCTCAATAACAAACTGAAATTGTTTTCCAACAAACTGAATTTTCAAACCTAGGAATTTATCTTTCTAGTTTCGCAGTTTAAGAGATATTGTTGGTCTAAGAAATCTCACCGATTATGATGATTAACAAAAGAAATCTACTAATGGTATTACTTAGTGATACAATACTTGATGTCATCAGAAACTGTCCAGTTGTCCAATAATGCCCAACAATGTGAATGAGAAATCGACACAGGTCGTCCAAGTCCTAGCGAGGTTGAAGTCATATCTAACATGCAGAGGGGTGCAACAGAACCTAGCAGGTTGACGCCAGAGGTCTTTAAGGATAGTGGTAGTTTTAGCAACTAAGTTGATTGAGACACTAGCTAAAGTTCGGAAAGTCGACGTGACCTCACCAGGATGGTTCCGATAATTGATCGTCCCATTATACAAGGACCATTGCACCATCGTAACCACAGATGAATAAATTTGACTAATATATCACAAATATTACTTTTGAAAATCATTCGACTTTACCTGGAGCTCATTAACAGCGAAACCAGGTTGGCTTCAAACCAATCGCGGACGTATCGTAAGACTAATCACCATCTCCCAGGTTTTAGAACAAACAATTACTAATGAACTATATGTTATTTTTGACCTGACGGTACCACTACTAACCGTGAACAGTGACCGTCAGAACTGCTCGCTATCCCCCTGTTCTTTAAAGATCCCTTACTAAGAAACTCTCTTCACCAAATTAATGAGATTTCTTGGTTACCAGGTGATTGACTTATCAAACTGCGGTACGCACATGACGAAGTTCTACTTAGTGGAGACAGTGACACGAAAGTTTCTTTATCGCATTGACTTATAACACAAAAATGTTTGCAATGCATTCCTCTACTTCTAAATGGACGTCACTTTAGAAATTGTATTCGCCGTCACCTAGACTAACCACAAGTAGTAAGGTAGTTGACTGAGCCGACTGCTTTACTTAACTTAGAAATTTCCTCACTCCTAGCGGGTTGATGCCTAACCAAACCTCGGCTGGCTTTAGCCTAAATACGTCACTTGTAGTATAGAAGGGACTTCTGTTTCGGGATGTTTATGAATTAACGTAAACAAATTATATTGTAGAATAAATTCCACAATGGAGATAAGTGAACTGTAAAACTCAGTTTTGATTACTGAGAATGGGCACTAACAAAACAAGTGCTATGAAGCAATCGTATCTTTCTACTCGTATGGGTGATACGATGAGAAGTAGGTAAAATAATACTTAATAATTATTTATTGTAGAGTTTGTTTGGTGCATATGAAGTGATTTGTAATAACTTATCCAGGAAAATTTTGAAGCAGAACATAGATGCAGTTGGTGGTCAAAATAGCTTTTCATGTCTAATGAAAAATACTGGACAGGAACAAAACAGAATATATCTCATTACTGCTCAGAAGAGATATGTGGTTGCGCGCATAAAGAAACTTAACGAACCTGTTGTATCGGCTTAGAATGCTTCGCAGGATTTATGCATTCTGTAGCTCCAAAAGACAGAGCTAAACCAAACTTGTTTTCATTAATATCTATTCCAATAATTCTTCTAGCACCAGCTATTCTGCATCCCATTATGACTGCTAATCCAACGGCTCCAAGACCCCAAACAGCACATATGCTCTCTTTCTCAACTTCTGAATATTATCATAAACCGAGTTGCAAAAACATTGTTACTAGCAGTATTAAAGACAGCTCCATAACCCGTGCTTATGCCACAACCCAAAAGGCCAACTTTGTTCAGTGGGGCATTTTTATCAATTTTTGCTAAGCTAATTTCAGGTAGCACTGTGTATTCACTAAAAGTGCTACAGCCCATGAAGTGATGCACTTGTCTACCACGACATTTGAAACGAACAGATCCATCAGGCATGAGGCCTTTTCCTTGCGTTTCCCTACAAAGCATTGAATTAACTGAAATGTTTACCTTATCTTTGAGCATAAATTCGTTTTCTTAGATAGACAAAATTTGCATTGATTACATTGTGGAATGTATAGTGGAATGACGTGGTCTCCTGGAACAACAGACGATACACCCTCCCCAACGCTTTCTACAACACCTGCACCTTCATGTCCAAGAATGACAGGAAAAACTCCCTCAGGATCATGACCACTCAAAGTATATGCATCTGTATGACAAACTCCAGAAGAATGAATCTTGATCCTCACTTCCCCACTTGATGGAGGAGCAACTTCAACCTCTTCAATCACTAGCGGTTTACTTGGTTCCCAAGCAACAGCAGCTTGACAGATAATAGGCTATAACGTCGTTATATGAAAACAAAATCTACCTCGTTAACACAACTTGTATGCATCATTAATTAGCAAAACTGCTCGACGAAACGTACCTACAGTAGGAATGTAACGACAAATTAAAAAATAGTAATAGATAAGCGCGGAACAAGAACAGCTAACTAGGAAGAATTATCAAGTTAATGACTAAACTATGAAATCAACACTGTATGACATGAAAAGTATGATGGCCACATAGCACGGAAGCTTTACACAATGTGCGTTATGTTACTTCAGGTTACTTTATATCAACGCTGAATCGAAGATTCGAGTGAATAAATGACACCATTACATTACGATGGTAGAATTATTGATAGCATTAGTGTATGCATAACTTTCTGGTTATCTACATAATTCTAGTGTCTCTTGAATGACTCCAAATGATTATATATATATATATATATATATATATATATATATATATATATATATATATATATATATATAATGTAGTCATTTGCTTTTGTAACGGAACCCAAGTGATTCGAGAATATATCCGTTACAAATCGGGAATGATCAAGCGTGCCCAAATTTACGCGTCAACGAGTAATCCCAAATGTCAACATCTTTCAATATAATCAATACCCAAACAACCAATAAAGCGGATATATAGGCTAAGGAGTTAGAAGTTAATTAAGTTAACAAGTGTACAGCCATGATTGTGCACACACATAGGACGATTGAGTATAGAATTAACGAGGAAATTTCCCAAGTCCTTTAACGATATTTGAAGAATTTCATCACCTAGGGTACCAGTTCATTTCTTATCATTTTATGGGATCATATGTAAGGAGAGGTTGATTAGCAATATGGAATGCTTGAACTTAAGATTAATTCTTGAACTGATGTCAATTCACAGTCAAGAACTAATTCCAGCTCTCAATTCTATTTGACAACGAGCTCGCAGAATCGTCCATTATGGAGATTACTGAGCACATGCAGGTCAATACCCGTAGGTTGATACCATTGGTGCGTTACCTCGATAACTTGTAATTTTGGTCATGAGCGGTGAAATCAGGACTTTGGGTGGTTGGTCCACGTTCACCTTCAAATAACGAAAGTGATGTTACCCCTGTAGCGTTAAATTAATCCCCAAAATAAGTAGCTCTGTAAGTTTTCGACATTGGATGCTGACCACATGTTTTAATGGACTCACCTAGCTGAAGGCGCCCGGTCATGCATCCGTATCAGATCATGAGTGGGAACGCCGTGCTCAACATCTACTGCAATCGCTAGCCAGATTAGATCAGAAGATTCTCGATATATTGATAGCCTATCAAATATATCTTCGAACCTCCTCGCTTCTGTCTTTTGATTTCACTTGGTGGGTACGCTTCATAAAGCGTTGTCAAACTCTGAATACCTGTGGCATTTTCACCCTAATCGCGTAAAATGTAGGACAAATATTTAATGATATTGCAACAGATGGATCATCTACCAAATGAGACAGTTTCGCGATATTCTTTTTTATCAGTATATGTACACTATATGTCGTACCAGCCCAATCTCCCAACTTTTTTTGGGGGGGACCTCGAAATCTGTGTTGCACAGTTCTCCGGACAGACATTTCATCACCAATGCATTTTAAAACTGTTGAAGATAAAGTTACAATCAAAAGACATTATTTTTAATAATATCATGAACTTTGGTCACAAATACTTTATGGATATTGAGGTTTTGTATTAGTACATCAAACAGACGCGAAACAAGGAGTCATCCGCTTTAAACCACTTTTTCAAAATTCTTACGCCACGCAGTAGGGTTATTTGTACTGTCCACAATTTCGATTAATGCTTTCGTTTAGTCTGACTCCAGGTAATTGTTTCTTCCAGTTGAATTTCAAATATTTTAGGTTGTAAGCAGCTGATGAGAACCTAACGAAATAAAATGAATTCATATTATTCTGCACCAACCTTTGTTCTTACTCTCTTTATAATAATTTAGAGCCTAAGAAAATTCCCAAAAGACGGGCTAAAGCCAACAGAGATTTAAAGTCGATAGTCTGTCCCAAATCAAGCTTTTACAGAAGGTTGAGGAATTCAAAAACTGAGTTTGATGAAAAGTATCTTTGACGACCACTAACTACGAGAACAACCGTTCAGTTGTTGTCTGAGAAGCAGGGACCACCGTAGCTACAGAGCAGTGTAACAATATCGTCCCACAACCAGCCAATGCTTCACGTAGTTACGTCCAGTGTACAGCCAATACAGCCGACGGTATAATCCAGCTATTTTTTATGAACAAGTTATAGATCGTGCAATTTCAGAAATGTCCCCGTCGATTCACCTAGATAAATTTGTAGATGAGATGATGAAAGGTGATAACGGTGAAGAAGGCTGACGGAATTCCTGATGTTTTTCGGGGGTGCATTCCAGAACTCCCCACATCCGTTAGAAGTGTACCAAGTCGTTGTTATAGTGTGGAACCAACGTTTCTGGAGACAGAAGTATACTACCACTTTGGACTAAAAGCAGATTTGCAGAGGATTTCAGAAAATAGGCCACACCAAATCACTTTCAGCGAAGTGAAACTCCAACAGCTTGTCCTTATTTCAAAGCTGTAACCAACATTTTTGGCCAATCCTAGGTCGCCTATTGGCTCCATTAGTTAGTGAAGTATTCATAGTTGGGATCTATGGTGGTGAAGTAAAACCATCTGATTTCAACGAAATGTCCGCAGCACTTGTAACTGAGTTACAAGAATTGATGACTTTAGGGATTTACGTAGATAAGTGTAAGGTACATTTGACAGTTAAATTGGTTGCTGTTATTTGTGACACTCCAGCCTGTTGCTACGTCAAGTATGTTGCTGGACACGACGGTACCGCTGTCTGTGATAAGTGTCATGTTCTAGGGAGACTACTGGGAGGTCAAAGGACTTTCTCAATGATAAACACGACTTTAGAACCGATGTCACTTTTCGTAGTAGGTTCTAATCCATCCTTCATCGTGGTAGAAGTTTATTCGAAAATCTACCACTAGATATGTTAAAATCTTTCCGATGAGAACCAGTGCACATGATATACTTAGGTATCACGAAAAAACTGATTTCCTTGTGAAAGGATCTAGCTGTTAAGCGACTTAGTAAGATGGATCACTGTATTTTCGCACCCATCAGTGTAGTACTGGACTTATGTAGAAATTACACTACTTATGAATTTCAAAGAAAATATCGTTCATTACACGAAATTTCTGTATGGAAAGCATCTGAATATCGGTTGTTTATACTTAGGTGCTCTAGTTCTTTATGATAGGTTACCATTACGAATGTACAGAAACTTCAAGCGCCTGCCTTTGTCAGTTTATTTATTATCACCGTCTAAGTTACACACCACTTTCCTAAACGGTGTTCGCGTTAGTCTAAACAACTTATTTAGCTACGATTGCTGTTAATGTAGGGAACACTTAGCCCATAATGTAGATCGTGGTTTGAAGCAATTTAATAATTTGGATAAATGGCTTCCTAGTTGGGTGCTAAAAATGAATACGGATGAACTCAAAGTTGTGTAGCTGGGAAACCGTGCCTAGCGGAATGCCTAAGGGTACAGTTTTGTGGCAATACTGTCTTTATAATATTGATAAGATAACCTTTCACTACAAGTACTCATTCTGGTTGTATGTTTAACTGGACAGTATGTAAAATCACACTTGTAGCGGTAAATAAATCCCTAAAATCAATAGCTCCGTAAGTCTTCTATATTTGATGCGGACTGGATTAGTTTTAATAGACTTACCTAGACGAAAGCACTCGCCCATGCATCCGCACCAGGTCACGGGTGAGTACACTTCTCCTACAATCTCTTGTCAGCTTAGATTAGTCACTTCTCGGTATATCGATATTCTATCAAACATATATTCGAGCCTCTTTGCTTCTGATTTCTGATTTAACTGGGTTGGCACATTTCGATTGTAAAAGGTATTACTGGTTAGGGCGTTGTCAAACTCCGAATATTTGTAGCACCTCTACTCTTGTGTGTAAATGACCTTCTTAACTTCCTATCAACATCGGCTTTGTTATGTGCTGACGATGCCAAAATATAGAGCGATGAAAAATAGGGATTATAGATTGGAGCTTCGAAACGAACTGGAGAAATTGTCCGAATGGTCTAGAATTTGACAGTTCCCGATAGATGCTTCGAGGTGCATTGTAATGCATATTGGTTAACAAGTTACAGATACACGGTAAATAACAGTGAGCTACCCGTTGTCAAGACACAATTACTTATGTGTCACCGTTAGCCAAGACTTATAAACTGCTGTACACTGCTGTGCGATAGACGCCAAAGGTTCCGGGACCGCATAGTCAATACGTAAGGCCCTTCACCATGTCGATACAAAAGCCTTTTTAACCTTGTATACAGTATTTATGCGTCCTAAACTCGATTATTGTATACAAGCGGCTAGTCCTTGCCTAAAGAGAGACAGTGAACCGGTGGGTAAGGTTCAAAGAACAACAACTAAGCCGATTCGTTGAATATAGAAGCTCCCGTATGATGCTCGACTAGCCAAACTAAACTAATTTCCATTGTTCTGTCGAAGAATCAGATGCGACTTGATCACAGATTTTATACTACTTGGTGGTAAATTTACATCTGATATGCCCTCATTTGTCTTCCAAAACAGAAAATTTACGAGGACACTCCAAAAATGTTCACAAGCCAAGAATAAATCACTTGTTAGCTGACGATCCACCTTCTCATCGAATCGTCAACAAATGGAATTCACCGCTTCAACACGTGATTGAAGCTGCATCTGTCGACGCTTTCAAAAGTAAGTTGGATGAACTGAGAGACCACCATTGCCAGAACCGATATAGGCTACCTAGCCTCCAATCCTTCCCATACTGAAACTGGAAGGAGTGATGAACTTTCTGTATCTTGAGATTTGCATCTGGGTAGTGAGAGAGCTATCTTGGTGATGGAAAGGTGTGCTTCTTGTTGTGTTCTTTTTGAGCCTGAAGGGTAAAATAATTAAGTTGATAATAGTGGAAGTGTTTGTGAAGTAACACTGAAAGTAGTCTTCCTCAA